GGGGGGGTGAGAGAGGGAGAGACCGAGCTACACATTGACGTAATGCTACATACGTATGTATATTTTTAGCCGCAGAAGCTGGTGAAAGTACAGCATTAAAACCTTCCACTTTCGAGATCAATGAGGAACATCTTCACGGATCTTTTTTTTTTTTAAGGAAAACGTAGGCATACGACAGAAAGAGCAACTGAGATCAATAACCCAGACTTTCAAAGAGGAAGTGTAAAGAATAGGAGTCTCATAAAGCAAACTAAATTCTGCCGTTAAAAGTAGCATAACCAACAGGTACTGGAATGATTTACTACCCCTTCCCAAAGGTTTCAAAGGCCACAAACTGAAACAATTCTATTGCGAAACGCCTTAGCCAAGGACTTTTATAATATAACCTTGAGGAATATATGTTAGGTAAATTAGAATAACAATACATCAAAACCCTTCACATACCAACCAGATTGGTGCAGCATAAAAATAAAACGGGGGGGGGGGGGGGGCATCGAAAGAATGAAGTCGGACGTACAAATGCAGGTAAATACCCACATCGTGACGTCACACTCCTCACCCTTTCCATGTTTCTCACAAATAACAACAAATATAACGACTGCAAATAACTTTTTTTATAATTCGCAAAGCGCTTTGACGTATTTTTAGGACAGTAAGAGGTAGTAGATTAAGATAACCAAGAAAATGAAATGAGTTTAGTTAATAGATGCATATTACGTATACCAGGCGTCTGGTACCACGACAACACGCGCATCTATGTTTGAGAGTGAGGTGGGGGGGGAGAAAAAAAAAAGAAATACTCACGTCATCTTTGGGTCGTGCCGCCACCGAGGTAAGCCCTAGGACCAGCAACAATAAGCACACTCGTAACGAACGTGAGGACGACGTCATCGATGATGGTGTAGACGACGATGACGATGATGATGAAAATTCAGAGAAACACCGCGGCAAGAATGGCTTTAGTAGTCCGAGCGCAGCCATGATGCCAACAGCTACTGACTGTCTAGTGTGAGGAGACGTCGCCGTGCAGGAGGATCCCTCTGTCCCGGGCACTCAAAGGTTGGGGCGGCGTGTGTGTGCGTGAGCGTGTGTCACTCGTTGGCGGAGAGAGCGCGCGTGAGCCGGTGAGCAACGAAGAGGGGGACAACGATGACGGTGGCGGGTAGAAAACTGAGCAAACCTTGGGGGAGCTGGGTGAGTTGGGAGGAGGGAGGGGGGGAGAGGGGTAGATGGATGCCGGGATGCGGAGCCGAGGAGTGGAGAAACAACGCCGATCTCTCTCTGCAGTGCTGCTCACTCAGTCTGGGTTCTGTTCAGCATCCCGCGCGCCCTGCAAGCGCAAACACAGAGGATATGGATCAATGACAAGCAAGCTTCTTAGCGAATTGTGGGCACGAACATTACACAACATCATGAGCAGTGGATACTGCAACAGCTACAGACACAGGACTGATTGTGTACACCCAACACACAAGGAGGGGATAGCATGTGTAAACGGATCATACATCTTCGTGCTCGGAACACAAGAGATATGAAACCAAAATAGCAGGAACCAAAAAAAAAAAAAAGAAAAGAAGATTACACAATTTACGGCAACCTTCAAGTTTACTTTTATGAGAATAAACATGTTCAGAGACGAGCCATCCACGTTTGGTATACTTTAGTCAGTCCATTTGAAGTTGACCAAATTGAAGCTAGATGATTTGAAACAATGGACAGCACGAACACACATAAGAAATGATCTGCTGAGCAACGGAATAACACGACAACAAACTGGACAAACGAAACAGGTATACATGTATGTTGTATTGTTTAAAAAGTGTTAACAATCAGAAACAAAAGGCATACATAACTTTCGCAACTGTAAAAAAATATTAAATAATAAGGGAAATAATGTACACATATAACTTTTCGGGGCTGAATTCGTAACATAGAGATTTCATTTTATTTTGCAGAAAACCAAATTCTATATTCACAAAGAAATTTTTTTTTGGCAATAAAAAAAGTACTTCTCATTTGAATGTCCGAGTTGCATTGCACTGTGGTGGTTAAAGAAAAAACCGTTTCAGACAGGAACACCAACATTAAGTGCTAATATTGTAACAAAAGGGAAAAAATGAACAGATACACATTTCCAAAGGCAACTCACTATGTGAGATACACATTTCCAAAGGCAACTCACTATGCTGGCGACAGATTGGCAAAAGTAAAGAAAACAGATTAAACAAGCATTAAAAAAAACAAAAAAAACCTACGGTTGAATCGGCAAAAACGCCTTCAAAGTGCACATGGCACGTGGGATCATAATCATATTATACAACAGATATACACAAATTCTAACAAAATCAAGACACGTACTAAAAATTTTCATTTCAGGACTGCTGACAATCAGTCAGGCGCTAAAACAGCAGATCAGACCAATGGTATGGTATGATGCCACAGGGGTTTAACGCCACTTTCAGAATGGCAAAGCCATTTTAAAGAAGTGGGATTTCCGAACATAAAGTCTATTTCAGACATGACTTGCCCAAATGTGGTCTTTTTAAGCCTCATCGACACAATTTAGATCACGTAGGAGACGGGCTTCGGCCATACCTGAAGGGCCAACCCAGGCTGAGAGGGATACTACGTCCCAGCAGAAAGACTACGATACTCGATAAAAAAATCTACCCGCACGGAATCAAGCTCAGGGTTTCCACTTGCGACGACGAAGCACCTAATAGACACACCATATACACGTACGCCCAAGAAAATGGAGAGCACCCAGAACAACTCATGTGCAAGAACATCCCACAAGAGACTCGAGCTAGGGCCATCCGTACCATAGACCAGTATAGCCCCAACAAAGCTAATAGCGTACCTGATCAGAAAAAAGAGGGGCAGCTCAAAGACGAATAATTTACAGACAGAGACAGACAACAGAATTGAAAGAAACCTTTGGGCACCATGTTTCAGAAAATAACTTCTTCTTCTTCTTCTTCTTCTTCTTTTTCTTCTTTATCTTCTTCTTCTTCTTCTTCTTCTTCTTCTTCTTCTTCTTCTTCTTCTTCTTCTCCTTCTCCTTCTCCTTCTTCTTCTTCTTCTTCTTTTTCTTCTTCTTCTTCTTAATTCATGTTAATAGGAGACGTGTGTGGTTGGCGGGTGCTCTGGTGTGGTTTGCTCCTTCTTTCCCATCAAACATTCCTCCTCCTTTTTGTGTTTGTTACCCTGTGTTTTGTAACATCTATTTTCTTGGGTACTTATAATATGACCTTATTGTGTTGAAAGTGCCAACTCTCACTAAAGCTAAAAAAAAAAGAAAGTTGGAAACCATGAGGACCAATAAAAACAAGTCAGTGGAAATAGAAGACCACACACACCATAGCATCCTCCATACACTCAGTGGGCAACAAAAGAGTGAATTTATTAATAGAGATTCAATTCCAAATAACGTGCACAATACGCTAAATGAATGACAACCGAAGTGAACAAAAATTCTAACACATTCTATTACCTGTATACCTTGAGTTCTCTCTCTCTCTCTCTCTCTCTCTCTCTCTCTCTCTCTCTCTCTCTCTCTCCCTCTCTCTCTCTCTCTCTCTCTCTCTGTCTGTCTCTGTATGTGTGTGTGTGTGTGTGTGTGTGTGTGTGTGTGTGTGTGTGTGTGTGTGTGTGTGTGTGTGCGTGCGTGTGTGTGTTTGTGTGTGTGTGTGTGTCTCTCTTTCAGTTGTTCGTTTCTTTTTTTTTAAGTTTTAGTACGAGTTTTACGACACTTGCAACACAAATACGTCACATAAGTTCCGCAGATTTGAAGTGTGTCATGAGAGTAACAACAAAAACAAGGCTGAGAGATAAGGACGATATAAGATGTTTGATAGGAAAGAAGGAGCAAACCACACCAGGTCACCTGCCAACCACCCACTGTCTGTCTCTCTGTCTCTTTCTCTCTGTCTTATAAAATACGCACAAACAAATACACACCTGCGTGCACATAGACTACGGTTGGCACACATGTTGTCTTTCTATTTAGACATGCAGTAAAAAAAACCCACCATTAATGTAGATTTTTTTTTGCCCCCATCGACACAATTCAGATAAACTGGAGGCGGGCTTCTGACCCTGCCTATGAAAGCCAACCAGGGATGAGAGGTATACATCCCAGCAAAAAGACCGAGATACTTGATAAAAATGTCTTCCTCACTCGGGTCTCTTGTGCCGAACCACTATACCACAAACGCCGGTACACAAACCATGAACGCGGTGGACACATACATTATTATAAGACACATGCGCACACAATTATGTTTGTACGCACATTGCCTTTATATCAGACATAAATCAGCATGTTTGACCATAAGCCAACCTCAGACAACAGCAACTTCTCTACCCCCCCCCCCCCCACCCAAAAAACCCAAACAAAACAACAACAAAACAAAAAACCCCACAAAAAACAGCCCTCTTCCTGAAAAAAAACAAGATTAAAAAATAGACAAGCTTTCGGTTTTGTTAACGACAGAATGTAGAAATTCAAATGAGGATCACGAGAAGAAAAGCATTATCAGTCTCCGAAAATGGCACGGATTTGGGACCACTTCACAATAGCGAAGCCTCAAAATCAGAGCTATTAATAACGAAGAGTTTACTAGTCAATATTGGCGAGCAAACGTTTATCCACAAACATTTTCTCTTTAAAAAACCAAAACAAACGACAATGCCACCAGCGACATGCAATGATATCAAATCAGCGCAAAGATAGTGAATCAGTCGTGAGTTAAGTGTAAATGTTTAATACGGATTATCTCAAGAATATTCCCCCTTTTTGAATTTGTCAAAATGACGTCTAAATGAAACCAGTTACAAAAATAAAACATCACGTCCTTGTCTTGCCACTACCTTAGGATCTGCGCTTGATTGGCCGGAACGAAACAGCGTGTCTATAATCACTGACGGTGGTTCTGGCAGAAGGAGAAAGTGCTTTACTCAACAATACTGGCGAATAAAATAGCCTAAGGCGATGAATAATTTTTCACTGACACCTCATCTCACGAACTCATTCCACTCCTGACGTAAGCCCAAAGCAATGGTGAATTATGCGCGCGCACACGCGTTTTACGCTATGCATCTCTCTTCAGATTGATTTCCACATTGTTCTCTCTAAACCATAAGGCTGTACGTGTTGTTGTTGTAGTTCTTTTTCTTTTTCAAGTTCATCGTCTCTCAGGACTTTCGCTTCGCCTTGGTGCGTCAGCGTTCTGATTGCTTTTACCACGCCGGGATAAGCGGGGTACGTTCTAGTTCAACTAGTCGTACTAGACACTTGCACTACAAAAGGTACATTCTAGGTTTTTGACCTTTTTTTTCGTAAGACGAGAACAGAGAGAACAAAACAACAGCAACAAAAGATGTACAGCCTACCAGAGGCGCACTTTATCCACCCGCTGCTTCTCGACACAATGATATTCATTTACTGTCTGAGAAAATAACTTAATATTGATGGAAACAATCAAAATACAGTAAAAAAGAATTGGAACTATCAGTCGCGTCCTAGCAAAAGCAACTGTGCGAGAAGACAGACAGAGAGACAAACAGACAACAAAAGGAAAAGGAAGACGTAGTAACAACAAGTTGCGCCCTCGAACCACCAGCTACACGACGAGAAAATCAGACGGGCAATTCCACAAACGCAAGACTTGAGTAATACAAGGCTTCCACCTCTGCCATTTTATTAGGACAACGATCGGAAATGCGTCGTACTCTGTTGCCCCAACAACACCATTGAAACAAATTATCAGAACGGACAGGCAAAAGGCTTTTATCGATCATTTCGAACTTCCATATGGAAACAAACGGATGTTCAAATAGATGCACCAGTCTTTATTTCATTTCATCAATTTAATTGTAACTGGGTGTCAGCTTTAAAAAAAATCTTTTTTCAAAGAGGTGGGGGGGGGGGAGCTTAACTTTAGGGAGGGTGAAATTTAATTAACGCAAGTTAATTCTAGCGGAAATCACGATCGACTGATATAGAAGCAACAACAATCTCGCTGGTTCGACAGTTATCTACGGACTGTTATTAACTCAGAAAAATCTCGCCATCGGCACAGTACACTACACAGGTTTTGCAAATCGAAGGAATGTCGACTGTACTTGAGGATTGATAGCTCTGGCAGCTGCTGAACCCACGGTGTGATGAGAGAAGTGCTGGAAGGGAGAAAATGGATGGGAAACTATACTAAATCGAGCGTGTGACCTTGGGTGTTTGTGTGTGTGTATGTAAGCGTCAGTGTGTGTGTGTGTGTGTGTGTGTGTGTGTGTGAATGTGTGTGT